GTGACATCCCTGTTCTCAGAACGCCCTGTCCCGACTGTACGCTCTCTCCACAGCCCTGAGGAAGGTATCGTATCCAGAGCCATTGTACTGATGAAAGCCTTCTGGTAGCAATAAAGAAAGTTGTCCTGGATTCCCAGTCTGATGGTGTGCTTTTCACCCAAGACCTGGATCAGTTTTACCCGGATGCTGCCAGGGAGCTGCTCCGTGCCAGACCCCTGACAAAGTGACTTCAAGTGCTTCAGGGTCCCGGGCAGTCCCTGGGGTGCCAGGGGAGTCACCCAACACTAACTCATTGCCTCCAGCAGTTCTGGCTTTAGCCCCAGCTCTGGTGCTCCTCACTCCTGGCTGTTCCCTTTCCAGGCCGAGTGCATGGCTGGAACACTGCTCCATCTCCTGTCCTGGAGCCCATCCTGCCCCATGCCTTCCAAGGTGCCATCTTCTTATCGTGCACAGACCACCACAAGACCCTTCCCACAGGTTCCAGCTCTTCCTGCCTGTGTCCTGAGAAACCTCTCCCCAGGCCATATTTCTCAGAGGGGTGTGCCTCTTCCTTCCCTTTCAGCCCTTCCTGCCATCCTTATGCTATTTCCAGACCCTGACCTTCTCATCCAGTGGCTGGCTCAGTGTTCTCCAGCCAGGCTGCTGTGCAGTCCTGGGGTGTCAGCAGCACAGCCCCAGCAAGGCACCCTGTCACTGCAGGAGAGCCCCCGCTCCGGTGCTCTCTGCTTCCAGCTCACCGCACGTTGCACATCTTTTCCAAGTTAAATTACACTGGCTTCTCCCCCTCCACACAATCCTTCCCTCCCAGGCTGAAGGGCACGTTCCCCCTTGCCCCACTCGCACATCAGCACACAGGCACTCGTGAGATCACAGCCCAGTCCCACCACAGGGTCACTGCCCAGAACCCCTCCCGGCCTCCCTGTGCTGTCCAGAGCCACACAAGCCACAGCACTGACTCAGCAAGCTCCTGGGAGGTAAAATCCTGCAGAGGCAGGGCTCAATCTCCCTCACTGCCAAGGGAGCGCTTTCCTGCTCCCAGCCCCAGTGGATTGCAGAGAGACAGACACTTTATTTTGCTGGTGCTATGCACAAACCCACACCAGTGATCTTGTGCCAGGCAACTCCAAAAAAAAAGGCTCAGGCACAAAGCCTGTCCCTTGATCCATGTGACCCACCCCTGCAGTGTCCTGCTGTCCTGGCACAGGCCCTGGACACCTGTGGGCAGATCCCTGGCTGTGCTGCCTGCACTGGTGTACACATTAACAGTGCTCCATGGCTAACGAGGTGACCTTCAGACACAGCCTTACCTTGGAAAATGAGTCGTCCCAGCAAGACCAGCTCCTCCACGTAAGCAGATCCAGCTGATTTGGAAACAATCCACGTGGCCAGAGAGAAAAGCCATTTCCCACTTCCCACATTTCTTCCCCAAAAAACCCCTGGCAAAAACATCTCCTCCAAGCTGCCCCCCCATCACCTTGAGTAGCTGGCTTGTACGCAGCTGTCAGAACACTGGGCTAGGCCTGGAGTGCTGCCAGGGCTCCCTGTTTCCCCCAGGAAAACCTTCCCTGATGCACCCTTGAGTCCTCTTGTTCCTGTGACCTTCCCACAGGTGTCACAGCATCCCAGTGCTCCCCACCAGGGACCTGCCCGACACCTGCCCAGGGTCTGCCTGCTCCAGCGGGGCCTGGAGCAGCGAGGGCAGGAGTCCAGCCCAGCACACAGGGCAGGTGAATGGTTGGCTGGAGAGGAAACCAATTCCCAGTTGCAGGCTCAGCTCTCTGCTGGCCTTTCTCCCTCGTGAGCACTGGGATAACACCACTGCATTCACAAACCCCAGCATGTTACTGCTCAGTCCCCAAACCCAGGGAGCTCCCCACGGCATGGCAGGGACATGCCAGCAGAGCACTGCTGGTCATTTCCAACGCCTTTAGCCATAATCCCAGCTCACCCTACCCGGCTGCACTGCTCCCTGCAGCCCCTCAGCTTCCCTCAGCCCCCTGAGGGTTTGCTCTGAGGACATGAGAGCACAGATCCCCTCCAGCAGCCACACGAAGGGGTTAAACCCAAAGTGTGATTTGTAACTCAGGCACCCACTCCCTCCAATGAAAGAAGTGGCTTTCCCAGCTCTGCTGGGGATACCTGGTGACAAAAAACCTCTCTGAGCTGTCCTCGACAGGTTTCACACTGCCATCCTCTCCCCACACTGGCACCTCTTCCCCAACAGCTGCTGCCACAGACGATGCAGCCCAAGGGCACATTGCCATCCCCTCCCCAGCCCCAGGGTGTGGGGAGGCCTCCAACACCCTCTGCCCCTCAGTCTCACTGTGGACACTGGCAGGGCCTTCCTTCTGTCCCACTATCCAGCACCACTGGATTATGGCTGTCAGGTGTTTCATCTTGTTTTCCCTATGGATCTCTTCTCCTTGAGTTTGCCTTTAAAAAACACCCACCAATCAACCCCAAAACCTTCTGCTGACACCACCTGCCTCAAGAACCTGAGGCAACAAATTCCCTAAGTTTACTACCTGCTCCTTAACAGTTACTCCTCTGGTCTAGTTGTGACGATTTGCTGACTTAGCAGGTCAGCACGCACCGCCATGGTAACTTGGAGAGCTCTGCAACAACAGTCACAAATAAATCTGGGCTGCAAGGGACCTCTAGAGGACATGTGCTGCCACCTCCTGCTCACAGTGGGGCTGATCCTCCCTCACCTCTGCCTTTCCCTGGCCAAACTGAGCCATCTCACCTGGAAGCTGCTGCTCCATCCCATTTACCATTAGTGCCCTTCTCTAACTCCACTATGTCCTTCTGGAGACACGAAGTCCAGAGCTGCAAGCAGGACTCAAGGCACCAGCACAGCAAAACTCTTATAGAGCTGTAAAATAAAGGCAGTCTGTGTAAGTTGTAGTATTCGGTTTGTGCTTCTCTCTAGATTAAACTTTAAAAAAAAATTCCCATCTGGAGTTTAGAAGTCACTGGGGAAAAAAGGGCTTTACCCCTCCTCTAACTTGCCACGGCAGCACTACAGGGGGGTCACCCAGGCCTGAGCCCCTGCAGGGGATTAACCACAACCTCCCCCAGTCCAGCCCAGCACCTGTCAGGGGCAGAAGAAATACCCCAGAAACCGTGGTCTTGAGAGTAACTTGCAGACTCCTACTCCCACATAAAGCCATCCCAGAGTTTTTAAATATAAACAAAAAAGTCCAAGGAGTGAGACAAACATAACTGTAGCAGAACTGCACAGCTTCCTAGATCTGGCCATCTCGAGGGAAGCACTGGTGGCTGGAGAGCAGGTACCACCTGAGAGCCCTGCAGGCTCTGGGTTTGGTACTAATGCAAATGCTGGCCCAAGCTACATTTGTGCAAATATTGATAGCCCTGTTGTCTCAGCAATGGTCAGCAGGTCCAGCTACACACCAGGCAAATCAGCACAGCACACAAACGAGGCCAAACACTTCATAACCTTTCTGACTGTATCTTTAAAGTCACTTGGTTGGTTGCAAGGATTTCCAGGACGAGCAGTTTTCCCTCCACCCGGCTGGAGGGAGTAGACCCTTGTCGTTGGAAAGTGCTGTGAAATATTGTGCTTTTGAAAAAAAAAAACCCAGCACGTCACACAGGGGAGAGGCCAAACCTAGACCATTTCCTGGTTAAAGGAGGGGAATTCCTTGATTAAGGTTCACAGATGCAAAGAGTCAGTCACTAGTATTCGGTTAAAAATAAAAGTGCATCGCTCCACAGGAAAAAACATCCCAAGAGGCTCAGGCTGCCTCCTTCCCTCTGTGCCAAATCAGCTGGAGATCACTGCACACCACACTTACAGGCTTTGTTTTTACCTTCAAACAATCCTTTGGCACTTCTCAAGCTTTTTGACTGAATTCAATTCCAAAGTAAACAAGGTACAAAGTTTAACAACTTGCCCACATTCAGGACTGCTAAAAAAATAATTGCTAATTAGGCTTCATGAAAACAAAGCGAAGCCCTCGATCTAAGTACAAGTCAGTGCAATTCGGCTGTACAAGAAAATCCTACTTTGCTACATCAGCCAGAAATAAAGCCTTGGCTGTCCAGAACAGGCTCCATCAGCACCACAGGGCGCAGCATCCACCATCCCCACTTCACACACTGACATACTGAGAACATTCCCGGGTCTACGGAGTGATTTCCATCGGTGTCAGAGGAGCACGGGACGCCCCTGGGATGAAGCTGTGGTATCCAAAGCAGCCAGACTCGAGGCAGAAATGAAACCCTCCAGCTACGCACACTCACCCTCAATCTGTCACTATGTGTCATCAGCATCGTGTGCACGTTATGGCAAAAGGTGAGAAAATGGCAGGGGAGGAAAGAAATCCAACTAAGCCAGCGCGGCGTGTGCCGTTCTGGCCGTTACCTCTGGCAGCCTGGGAAGCCTGGCCGCTGTCGGAGCCGCGCCGGGAGCGACAGATCCCGCACAGACACAGCACAGCGCACGGGAGGGGACAAGAGGGAAGGAGAGGAGGGCGGACGAGATGGAGGAATGAGATGACTCTTCTCCTGGCAGGGCTGCCCGTAGCCGCAGGCTCCTCCAGTGCCCTACAGCCCACGGGAGAGGGGGTGTGGGGGCTTTGGCAAGGTGACGGTTACATAAAGAAGAAGCTACAGAAAGAGACAAAAAACAGAAGAGAAAAGAAACAGAGGTTCAGAATTGAAATGAAGGGGTGAGAGAGAGGGGAATAAAGGAGGAACAACGTTTTAAAGTAAGTCATGAAGGAGGGAGCGCGCTGGGGAGGTGCCACGCACACCAGGGGGACACCTGAGCGCCCCAAGACACCAGCTGAGGTGGGGAACACCCGCACAACACCACAAGAAGGGACTGACAAACACCAGCACGAGCCCACAGAGGCACCTCAAAAGGCACAGAATGACCTGCTGGGAAGGTGGAGGGTGAACAGATGACCCTCCTGTCACACCGTTACAGGACGGCACAGTAAATGTCACAAAGGCCACGCAAAGACCAAAGCTTTGGGTAAAAATATATTTCCTCTCCCCACTTCAAGTGTTGGCACTATTTGGATCTGTAACCTAAAGCATATACAAGAAATAACTTGAGCTTATGCTCTAGGGTTATTATTCCATCTGTAATTCCAAAACTGAAATACTTTCACATCAAATAAAGTGACAATATCTAACAGATGCATACATATCACTCGCATTAACACTGTATGTCGGTTACACAATTATTTAGTTACAAACACGGGTTATTTTCCAATAGCAAGGTAATAAAGTCCTACATCTATGGTTTAAGGCAATCAGGATATTAAAAATGTATACAAATACAAGATTTCTACCGCTGTTCACAGCTTTATTTTCCGTGAATTAAAAAAACCCCTTCATGTTTGTACAGCTCCTTGCTGGATATCACACACTGCAAATGCAACCTGGGCCCTCAGAGAAGGGACACATCCACCTCCCCTTCCACCTCCCCTTCCACACCTCCGAAGGGCAAAAGGAACCAGAGCCAAATGGACAAATCTGTGATCACACACAAAAAGACACTTCCATCCGCACTTGGACGGTTTAGGAGAAGCAGAACAAGAGCTGCCTGGGGAAACACCACTCGTGTTAAACACAGACATGTTTCCAGAGAGACACCCATCTCCCTGCTGGGATTTCAGGCTGGCCATGACAAGGAGGAGCCCGGGGTGGGTGCCAGGCACTACCTTCCCTGCTCCCAGAGAGCCACGTGCCACAGGAGATGCAAGACAATGCATTCAATGACCACGAGCTCAAAGGGATCCTTCCCACTGAACTGCCCTCCCAGAAAGGAACTGTGCAAGCCCCAGATGGTTCTGGGGGAGCGAATCCTCATCCGTCTCCTCCGCTTCATCTGCCTGCCAGACCTACGGGTGCCCAACCTGTACAGAGCACTCACAGCCCCCCTCAGCGACCTGACTGTGTTTTTCCATCCTGGGGATTTGTTTCATGGCCTGGGAACACCACCATCCCAGCAAAGGCGTGTTTCAGTGTGCTTTCCTGCTCCTTTACACGGCACTGAGGTTTGAAATGCCGTCAGGAGCACACAGCATCATCAGCTCGTTACCACGGCTGTCTAATCACGTTCAGTGCCGCAGGGCCTCCCAAGCAAGGCCTTGCCCAACCATGTGTCCAGCTTCTGGCATGCAGGGAAGCTGCCCAGGGTTGCTCTAAGCATCCAACAGGAGCTGGATGTTGTGTTCCCTGCAGCTTCTCTACAATAGCAAAAGCAGGCTGCAGACAGTTTTAAGGGGTTTTAGCTAAGCCACTTGTAAGGAAATGGACTTAATCTCCCAGAAAAGCACGACCGGTTTCCTGTCAGGAGCGAGGCAGGAAGGTGAGTCTCTTGCTGCTGTACTTACATGCAAAGGTGAAAGCACATCCAGCCAGCCCTGAGTGTATCACTCACTCCATGCACACCAGGGGTTACTGTGAAAAAAGGCATTAGAGAGAAAAGCAAGAAGTGCAGCAGTGACAAGCTAAACATGGCCCAGGGGTTTAAGGTGAAAAAAAAAGTCATTATTATCTCCTGTGGTGAAAACCAAAACAATACCTTGGACATCTGCAAGCCTGTAGTTTATTCCCAGTTTCTCCAACACAGCTTGCTTTTTGCTGGAGAAAGAAACTCAACCAAAAAGTCATTAATGCACTTGGCCACTGCTTTCTGTCAAAAAGCAAAAGCTCAACTCAGCTGATTTCCCCTGCTAAACATCCCTTGAAGGGCTGTTAAACGAAGCAGTACAAATAAATGTTAAAATTAAGTTTTCAACTTGGCACAAAACACTGGTAATTAAAAAGAGGACATGCACAGAGACAGCTGAAGCGAAGCATATTGCCACGAGCACTTGGTGATGGGCATGTGATGTGACTGTAAAAAACTCATGCAAACAACCCAAACTTCTTCCTTCATAACTCAAGATTTTAAAGCTGGGTTTGCCAGAAGCCACAAGAACCAGAATTTCATTTTTCCAAACAACCCTGCAGCAAACCTACTTAACTTGGCAAAAAGTGCATTGTTGGCAAGACCAGGAGGTCAAAAAAAAAAAAAAAAAAAAAAGGAAAGGATTAAAGGCTCAACTATTTTATTTCTAGCTTATTTATCTGCTTTTCTGTTCTGTCCAAGACACGGCATTTAGATATCCTCTTCCCAAAGCCATGTTTAAGCAGTGAGGGTTAAAAGCAAGACAATCCATAAGCTAATCCCCCCAGCACACTTGAGGAAGAAATAATAAAAAAAGTGATAATTCTGCCTTTTTTTTCCCCTGGAGAAATTCCATCCAGAAACAAGCAAAGAGGTGCAGTGTGTGAGACTCAGGTGGGAGGAGTTTTGTGCAGGAGTGCTTTAAAGAAAGGAAACGAGACTCCCCAGGCAGGAGCAGAGCAAGTGCTGGCTGTGCATCAGCAGCAGAGAAAGGAACCCAGGAGTCACAGGATAAGCCTGGCTCGCCACTTCCTGGGAAGGAAGGGAAAGACTCAGCCCAAAAGCAGTGGCATAGAAAACACACATTAAACAGACCCCTTTCCTCCCTGCACTGGCCCAGAGCGAGGCCTGGTTTATCCTGCATGTCCTTGGCACGTTCAGGGGACACCTGAATGGGACATTGTCCCTGGTGCAGGAGGGCTGCTGGGGAGCACACAGTGAGTCAGGGTGCCTTCTCTACTTGACCTGGAATTGTGGATCCCACAGCTGTGCAGGTCTGTATTTAACTGTGTGCAGGAATGCTCCTGGAGGCTCTAAGAGGATGCTGAAGGCTCTGCGTCCCCCCTGCCCAGGCATTTGATTCCACAGGGGCTGCCCAGCCTTTGGAAAGCAGGCAGGACTTTAAGGGAGGTTCCAAAGGTTTTGGGCAAGTACTGCAGGGACAGCAGTGCTGGGAATGCTCCTGCCCCCAGGCACCCACAGCTGCTGTGCTGAACTGGAAGGGTGGCTGTGCAAACAGGCCAGCACAGGACAACAAACCCAGCCACGGTCAGGCCAGACAACAAAAACAGCAACTAATACACGTTATCATGCAAATGTCACGGCATGCAAGGTCAGTTAACTTGGTTATCTACACACACCCCCCTCCCTCTCCCCAGCAGCTCCTGCTGGAACGCATCAGCTCCTCCAGGAATATGGGCCAGGCTGAACTCCAGGGTTAGCCACGCCCCCGACTGGCTGTGCCATTCCTCCAGCAGCGATTCCCTGGGGCTGGAGTCCAGGAGCTCCCTTCAGCACAGGTTACTGCAGCGCTGAGGACACCTGAGCCAGTACATGCTGCTCACACCCAGCCCTGACTCTTGGTTAAACTGGGGGCCAAAACTGATTTACAGCTGATGCTTTTGGTGACAAAAACACACAGTATCATTACCTTGTCCCTCCACCCGCCCCTGAACTCCCAGTTGCATACAGTCCTGTACCCAATCCCTCTTCCTTCTTGTTCCCCCTATGTTATTAGATGAGTTAATAGTTATTCATGTTAAAAAATGAAAAAAAAAAAAAAAGAAAAAAAAAAGAAAAAGAAAACAGATGGCAGAGACACATTACTGCAAAAGCAGGTGAATGCAGGAACATCCTTGGCTCGACAGGCTTTATGTGAAGCTTGCACTGCAAGTTAAAAAAGAACAAAAAACAAAAAAGTTAGCACTAATTGAACTCAAAATGGAAAAAAAAAAAATCAAAGAAAGCCAGGAGAGCCGACACCAGCAACTTGCTCCGGTGGGTGGGCATGCACATGGATTATGGAATTACAAAGGAATTCAACCTCAAGGCCAGGCTCTATCCCAGCCTATGACAAGCAAACATAAAAAACCAAGGGAGCAGAACTACTGACCAACCAACCATGTAAGCTGGGCCAGAGCAGCCATGGTGGACTGAAAACTTCCACAGAAAGGAAACTTGAAAAAACCCCAAGTCTTACATTTGGTTTGCAGAAGCAGGTTGAAATAAACCAAAATAGCCCCCAAACACATGGTCCCAGCTCCTGGGGGCTGGGGATGAGCAGTAACACAGCAGCACATGATGAGGCGTGTGCCCATCTCCCAGACAGCAGGCAAGCACCAGAAGGCTCTGATTTGGGCCATTGCCAGGAACTACCTCCAGGCTGTGCAGGTTTGAAGCACAGCCCCATCCCAAAATTACAGCAGGGGCTCAGTGAGTACGCTCAGCCCTACATTCAGGTGATCACTCGAGTGCACCTCTCCAGTGCCTGAGGTACACAGATGTGCTGTCCCCAGAACAGCACACTGCTGCCATCAGGCCAGAGCCCCAGCTCTAGAGAAAAAATGAGTACAAGCTACTGGAGGAATCATCTGGAAACCAGGAAGGCCAAGCTCTCCCTCAGGGAGTCAGACCAGCAGCAGATTTCACCCTGAGCCTTCCCTCTGGCATGCACAGCACAGCGGAAAGTCCCTGTTCTCCAAGTTGGAGAAATCTGATCCCACCTTGAGAAAAGAAAGCGTTCCCGTGATTTACTTTCTGGGGAGGCTGCGAAAGTCAGGCACGGCAAGGATTTCCTCTGGCAACTGCACAAGAAGCACCCCAAGCCATGTCAGCAGAGAGAGAGGATGGAAGCCTTTAACCACACAGACTGCAGCTGCTCATTAGAGTGCAAGGAGAAACTCAAAGCCTTTGGAAACCCAAGGTGTGCTACGGGGCAGAAGCACCGGCATTTCCCTCAAAAGCCTCCGTTAGTAAGTGCGACACTAAAGAACAACGGAAGCAGGTACAGCACCTGGTGTGGAGCACAAAGGACACACTAAAACACGGGTATGTTCCTCATGGCTGGGTTTCTGTGAATGCATCAGCAAAGCAGAACCTGCGTTGGTCACGGTCGCTGGAAACATCCCTGTCTCACCCCCGACGCCGTGTGCGTGCCAGCCAACCTCCCAGGAGCAAAGAGTGGCTGCTCAAAGAGACAGAACTCCCCAGACCGTTCTGCACTGCACTGATCTCGGATCTAAGAGGAAAAATCTGACTGCAGAGTTCTTAAAAACATTAAGCTACCAACTCTGCTAAAGAGATAAGAAAGAGGGCCTTCAAAACTTTCTGCTCTTTCTAGAAAATACATCACCATGTCTGAATTCTCAGGTGAAGGAAGAGAGGGGTTTCAGCCTATCCTGCTCACAGCCATGGCTGCAGGAGGGTGTTTCAGCACGCCTGGACCCCACGGGTCCGTAAGGATTCCTACCCAAGCAGAGCATGCAGCACAAAGCCCTCCACGGCCAGGTTCTCAGCCAGCATCGAGCAGCAGGGCTCCATAGGAGCTACATCAATTGACCTCAGCTGAGGAACCAGCCCCAGGCCCTCCCCAGGACAGAAGCAACAACTGTTGGGCAGCGACCCAGCAGCAGGGACAGGAAACATGCAGTGAGTGTGAACTGCCACGCTGTAAAAACATCCCAGTCCAGCTGCAGTACAAGTGCCCCTCCTGGGCTCTCACACAGCTCACACCAGGCTTAAGCTCCCAGATTAGAGAGGCAGACACAGGTGTCTGTGCCACATCCCCACTGGCACTTGCTTCTTCCAGCGTTAATTGGAAGGAACAGCCCCCTGCTCTCTCGGCCAGTAAAAGCAGTGTGGAACTGTCATTTTTGTGTGTGGGTTAACCAAGTGTTTTCCAGGGGGATTTGCTGCATCCCCACCTCCAAAGCTTTCCCAACGGCAGGTATCAACTAGCACCGTTAGCACAGATGGCCCAGGAAGGACTTGCATGAGCACCCTCTTACTAGGAATGGGCAAAGCCAAAGGAGGGTACAGGGTTACACTCCCAGGATACGGATATAAAACAGTAAAAAACAGTGCCATGATCTTTCTAAAAGGTAAGGGTTTCTTAGCTTATTATGTCAACTCCGTACAACCACAAATGCCATTTCACTGCAATTACTGTACCATAGTAGTTTGTTTTTTTTTTTATAAAAAAAACCCCAAAGCTTCGTCTTTAAAGCAAGCTTCCAAGTAATCACTTTTGGCACTAGCACTTCCCATGTAAAAAACAACATGGTGGTTTTGGTTTCTAAGCTACTTCTACTTACAACTTTACAACTTTAACGAATGGGAACTGGAGACCACTGGTGAAAAGAAAGGACAGGTAGTGACTCCCTTAACAATTTTGGCTCAGGCAGATAAATCTGAGTCCAGAACATGTCATAGCTGTTCCAGAAGATGCTGGACAGATCACAAGTCAAACCTCCACCATCTGATTGCTCTCCCATACCAGTCAGACTTCAACTTAAAATTTGAAGGTACTTTCTAGAGAAAAAGTAAGATCATGTCCCTCACCCACCCTTTAGAAAAAAATATTTTATTTGATCAGGCTGATAAAAGCCCTGTTTCCAGTCTGGTAATGGGGAAAAGCAAATACAGACATGCAGCAAGAAAGAAAAAAAACAACCTCCCAAAACTGTATCAAACCCTACAAAGGATGTGGGTGACATCCGCTTACTTTTTCTTGTCCTTGTCTTTCTTGGTTTGTTGAGAACCTGCCTGCTGAGCCTGTGACTGTAATAGCTGAGCTGCTGCCTTCTTCTTCTGGAAGTTGTTCAGCTCTTCCTCAAGTTCCTTCTTTTTGTCCTCCACTTTTTTCTTCTCTTCTTGGTGAGTCCTCTTTAGATGGTCAAACTTTTCGTGGAGCTGCCGGGACAGAGCCAATGAAAATTGGATGGGAAGAGAGATATGTTCCACCCCACTTGCACACAGGGAGGGTGGGAATTTCTGTTGCTGTAAGAACACAACAGGTCTCTGGACACTTCCAAACCCCCACATTCCATCCCCCACTGCTTTATACCTACTGGACTCCATCATGCTTGCGCCAAGCTAGAGAAGAGCCACCAAGGGCCATACTTTTCTCTGTACCACACGCTCCTCTGTGAGGCACGAGGAGCAGCTCCCTCCCCCAGCAGGAGATGCTCTGGGAAAGCCCCAAGCTAAACCCTCACAGAGTCCCCTGAGTTACAAATACTCACATCTTTCTCCGCTTCCTTCAGCTCCGCTTCTTTCTCCTTCACTCGCATGACAAACATCTGCCTCATTTCATCCTCCTTCTTCTGGAGTTCACCCAGGAATTCATTCCTCTTTGCTTCATAAGTCTCTTGGAGACTGTTGGAAACACATAAAACCCCATCAGAGCTGTGCTTCCCGCACAGCCACGAGCTCCCAGCCTTTGGGGACCTTACACTTGGCTTGTCTCGTCACAGGGTATCACCAGAGGCACAACGACCTCCACCAAACCCTGACCCAGCTCGCTAGGTGGCAGCAGTGGGAGACAAATGGAAAAGGAACAGCCGAGCTCCCTGACCAGGATCCTGCACATCACTGAGCAGGCAGGATGCCTGTCCTCCAAAAGCAGCAGCCACTACGTAAACGTCTATACCAACCCCCGGTGCCCATGGGGCTTGTGACCCGCCTGAGTCACACCCCCTCCCTTCTCCCACTGTTTGTGCCGAGTCTCTTCATTCCAAGTGCAGGATTTGTGGAGCAGGCACAGTGTGAAATCTGGCTTCATGTCGTTCTTTAAGCTCGACACTGACACATAGCAAAACTCATTTTCACTACTCACTGCTAATGGATTGAGATCAGGGGCTTGATTATATAAAGCCATCTCAGAAGATCTCTCTTTCTCCTTTGGCCTTTCTGAACAAGCATCAGTCCCCTCCTCCAAATAACCACATAACTGGATTCTCTCCTTCCTTCATTGCCCCTCTACTCCTCAGCATTTCTTTATCTCCCCAGCATTGGGACAGTAGCACAGATTTGTGACATAAAATATGCTGTCCATGCACCTCTGAGATTTTCAGAGCCTGTTAGGAACTCTGGATGCCAAATTCCTCTTTATTTTATTCCTTAAATGGATTTGGATAGCCCAGCCCTAACGATAGTGTGGGAATGATAACTATGTCCCCCAAGAGGCTTTTCTGCAAATGCATTTTCTAAATGAAAACGCCACTGATATCACACAGACACACTGTATCCATGTGTCTAGAGAACACATTAACCACTGGGCCAGGGGAACATCCTAATCCCAATAAAGTCAAGCTTTTGCCTTTCCTGGCAGTGTTGGGTTTTTTGGTGGGGGGTGGGATATTGAACTGGGGAACAGAACTTGACAGATTATCCCAAGTGTTTAATTCTGTTAATTAACAGGCACTTCAGCTGCCTCCTAAAATACTCTCCAGACAGGATGCCCAGAGCTGTTCTGGCAGAGCACTGGCCGCCCTGGAGGAATCACACCATTCCAGATGACCACAGCAGCTTCCCACACACGGAAGCAAAAATACTGATTCTAAAAATGACAAAAATCCTTTCATGGGAGAGCAGGGCAAGAGCCATCTTTGGTTCTTCACTAAATCCAGAACCAGATCTCTCACAGCAGAAGGAGATCTGGAGACTTGAATCAAAACCTCCTTAAAATTCACTCTTGGATTTAATACTCTGATTGTGGACACAAACTTAAATTCCTAAGCCCTTCTGAAGGATCTGGCTAGAGCCTAGCAAAACCCCGAGGGCAGGTGAGCCTCTGCTGCTCAGTGAGCACAAACTGAATCTGCAATTAGTGACGGGCTGTACTAGGGAGCAGCAGAGCCTTACAGACCAAACCAGAAAGCTCTGCACGCCGTTCATCCTACCCTGTATTGCAAACATCCCTCGCAAAGCTCATTCCCAAAAACACAACAACCGTGTGATGGACAAGCAGGAAAAGGCTGCCAGGAGCCAGGGGTGCAGGGGCTTCCTGTTAAATTGTCCCAGGTTCAAAGCTTCATTCTCTGCTGCAGCGACTTGGAGTTCCAGAGGAGCCAAGTTCTCAGAGAAACTGGCCTGGCAACTCCCAGGCTGCATGTGAACAAAACAATTACAGCCCTAAGGAATAACAGTCCAAACCAACTGGGATCCCTGCAGCTTCTCACAGACAAAGATGACAAGGGAATTAGCTTTTTAAGTACACAAACATATGAGCCTAGATTACAAGAGTAACTCGATTCCCCAGCACACCCCCACACACTGAGGGACGCCCTGGCAAATAATACTCTTTGAGAAAAGATGTGTTTTGAAAAGGTTAACCAGAGCAGCAGAGAAACCAGCCCGCAGCAGAAGGGTCTCTGTGCAGAGGACCCCATTTCATGGAGCAAATGCCTGTGGGGATCCTGGTGCTGCTCTCTCCTCACCTCACGCAGCTGGGCCAAGCGGAGGGGGTTCTGCCAGCAAGGTGGGGGTCTCAACCATCACCAATCCCCATTTTTGACACCACACAAGCGCCTACACAGCACCAATAGTTTGCTGGGGTCTTCTGCCCTGCTCCCCCTGAGACTTCCCAAAAGTTCCCTGCTCCTGGCTGATGAAAGCTGGCTGAGGAGCAGCAGCCCCTGTGGTTCCCCGGGCCCCAGTGCAGGGAAAGGCATCCTTTTGATCCCTGAGCTCAGAGAGAACATCTTCCTCATTTCAGATATACATCAGCCTTGGCCAAACAGCTTGGGATCATGGGGTTTGTTTGTTTATTGGAGGGAAAAGGCACCCAGAGGGAACTGCTCTGAACGAGCACGTACCAGATGGAGAAATTCGGTACATTTTCATTTCCTTTCTACTTATAGCTTGGTCAAAAAGAGGCCTCGTGTACAGGAAGCAATGGAAATTCCTCAGATTCCTCAAAAGGAAGGGCTGAGCCCATCGTAAGCCCTTGCTCTCCAGAAAGGAAATCCAATAAAGCTTCACACTTGGGCTTAGTAACAGAACTGGGCTTGACTGATTCCAGCAGAGTGTCTGTGCTGCAGAAGAAATGCAGCTGCATCAACTCAGCCTGTCAAATAAAGCCCCAAACCAGTGCCAGTCCCTGACACTCACGTGTGCTATGGGGGTAAAACCCCTCACTGATGCACTTGAATTCTGACTGGGGCACAAAGGAGCGTGGGATGCTGGTAAGGCAGAGGGTACAATTATTGGGGAAAAGTTGGGGAGGAATGGGAAACAGGAAATGAGAGGAGAAAACAAATACTCCCTCCCGAATTCCCACACAGCTGTTGTCCCTGGCTGATGACTTGGGCTTCAGACCAACAAAGCTGTCTGACAGAATAAACTATGTGTGTAGTAACCAGCCAAACCTCAAGCATGAGACCACGGCTCCCTCTTCACAGCTCACCTTGGAGCAGCTGTGAAAAGTTGTAGAAGGGTCAGAGAGCACCGATCCCAGGATGTCCCCTCTGGAGAGCCGTTACACCTCACTGCACGAGTCACCCTCCCGCGTTTTCCCTGACACGGCTGCCCTTTCCGTGCCCAGGAAGTGCCCAGCCCTGAGCTGCAGCAGAGCAGGTGGCTGGGAAGCACAGCAGTACCATCCAGGGCCCTACCTGAAAGGCTTGCTGTCCGGATCTGTGTCCTTGAATCCCATCTCCTCCAGCTTGCAGCGCCGGTACAGCTCGTAGTGCCGGGTGTGCGTCTGCTCTCTCAGGTCCTCCATGTTCACTCGGATCAGCATCTCCCGCAGCTTCACAAAGTCACAGTGGTTTTCATTTTCAACTGCAAAAACAACAGAGCATCCACAGAGATGTTACACCCACGGGCTGGGTTGCCCTTTCCCTGGATCTGGGCCCCAGTTCAGCAAGTCCCAGAGTTCTCCAGGCACACAAGCAGAACTCCATGTCAGCCTGCTCCAAAATGCCTTGCTGGCCTGGGGGTGAAACTATCACACACCAAGGGCATGAGTTCAAGGTCTTCCCCTGGATTTGAGAAGTCTCCTTGCTGCCCATCTGTCACAGAGCTCCCATCCCTCTGTGCATTTTTGCATCAGCAAGGTGATGATCTACTTGCACACAGGATTTCACTTTCCACTCAAACCCACTCTAAATCCCAGCACTCACAGGGGCCCGAGCAGGCAATGCCTAAACTAAATATCTTAAACTATCCAGGTCCCAGTTTCCTGGGAACAGCAAGAACCCAGCAGGATGTGATGAGTCCAAGACTTCCCAAACACATCAACTTCTTTCCTAACTGTTTTTCCCAGTACTATCCTCTGGTGTATCCAGCTGAAGACAGTAAGTCTGAAGCTGCTTCAGGGTCAGTTTATACTATAGAGAAGTTGGAGAGTTTTGCAGAATTGCCCTGTGAATGTTCCCATGCAGTTCCCTGGGCCGTTATCCAGTGGGATACACAGCTGAAGCCACAAGTAAGACTATCCCATCTCAATCCTGTACTTCTCAATGCTGGTTGGGAAGTGAGGATCAGCCCTGTATCTTTGGCAGTTTCGGTACAGCCTGGGCTGCAAACAGTGCCAAGGCCAAACTCTGCTCTCCTGCAGGAAAGAGCTTTTGGCTCCATGTCCAGCTCTGGGCTGTGCTTTCTCAAGCCAGGTTTTGACAAGGACCATCTAGAAATCAATGTGCCTTTGATCAGAACGGGACAGGATGACAAGGCCTTTTCTGTGCCTTTGGTAACGTACCTTGCACGACACCCCAGGGGTACTGCCTGGCTTTCGCCATCTTGTTGCCAATCTTCACTTCTTCAGTGCTGCCAACAACAGCAAAAGGAAGGTGGACCTACGAAAGGAAAGGGACAATGTGGTTGGGGATTTCCTTTGCTGCCTTGCCAGGGATTGTTTCTCAAGAAAGCTGTTTACTGTGGCAGCTCTGCTAGATGTAAGTTGCTTAAACGCCTTTGCAATTCATCTGGTGTTTTAGGGAGAGCAACAGGACAATCTGGATGAGAGACCAGATCAGATTTAAAGCGCAAAATTCTGACGTCCTAAGAATACAAGAGACGTGCATATTTTCCATATAATTACAGAGCACAAGTATCTTAAGCCCAGAACAAGTCTCACAAACTAGAAGTGAATTTGAACACTAAGCAGACAGAACTGTGAAACAATTAAAAAAAATAGAGTACATTCTCCCAAGGAAAATTTCAGGGGAGTTCTGCTGCTACAACAAGCTGCTAATGCTTCCTCTTAAAAAGGGCAAAGCTGTGAGCAAGGGGAAGAGGGGAGTCAACCCAGCCCTGGGCCGACACGCCTGAGTCATGGAGCTCTGCTCTGTCCCAGTCTCCCCGTGGGTGTGGTGGCGACAATCTGGGATCTACTCCCAGAAATGTGGCTGCTGCCAGCAGGGAGCTGGCCAGCCCAGCCCCATGGAGCTCTCCCTGCCCTAACAGCATCCAACAGGGCTGGGCACAAGCTCTGGGAGCTGTGTCAGCCAAGCCGTGGTCACAGGCTGGGTGGGTGGGGAAGATGTTAGGGCAGAGGAGATGGGATTAACTGGCAAAGGAGTTTCCCAACAGCCAGGCTGCACCAGAGGAAGGCAAAACAGTGCACACAACGCACTCTGGCAGAGCCATGTCCCTTCTCTGTTCCAGCCTCTCCCTGCTCAGAACACAACACAGACAGGGAAGACTAGCAATAGGCACGTTTGGAGAAGGTCTAATATCCAGTTAGATGCGACAGTTGTCCACCTACAAGCAGTTGTGCAAGGAAACTCAGAACAGCCTTCAAGTAGCAAGGAAATGGCTTAATCCGAGTGCACTTGCCTTAGGGGTGGCACACGCTCTTGGGTGTTATGTGCCCCTCTAAAACCACCTAAAAAGCCCAGAAAACACTGCACGTCACTGCCAGTAACGTCAAGCTCAGGTTCTTCCCCTTGCCCCCAAGTTAAGACCACAGAAAGCAGTGGTTTCCCCTCGTAAACGTGACTAAAATGTTTGGTCTACCCTAGCCCTGTGTGCCCTCAAATCCCACCCTCTGCTAGAGGAAAAGGAAGGAGGTGAAAGCCAAGCTGCTGACGGCCACCAGCCCTATGGAGAGCTGGAACATCACTGAAGGTGCCCTGCTCTCTCCGGAAACTGAAACAAAGGCAGCACTGAATCACCCCCCACTGAGCAATAAGTGGTCGTTTGGGACAGGAAACCCAAACCTCAGCTCCCTGCCCTGACCGTGTTGGGGCCCTGCCTCCCATCCTTTTCCTTTCCCGAGAAGGGAACACTGCAGCTGGGGAAGGGTATGAAAACACGCTCAGAGGAGAATCGTTTGTCAGACAATGAAGCATATCAGGCCAAGTATCTCCAGGCCTAAAGCCCCTCTGGTCAGGCTGGTGTCTGTGCCTACACTGCAGTTTTAAAGCCACATAAAATACAGTACAACCATCGAGGACGGGCCCCCACAAACCAAGGAACCCCCAGGTGACATACACTCATGGTGGCGTTGATCTCGGCCACCGTCTCCTCGTCCGTCGGGAACTGGTAGATCTGGACTCCGTTGCTGACCAGCTCGCTCATGATTTTACTCTTGAACTTGTGCAGCTCGTTTTTTGCAATGGTGTCAGCCTTGGCAATGATGGGGATGATGTTCACCTGCAGGACAGATACAGCACCTCCACATACAGCACTGCACAGGTTGTGTCACCAGGAGAGGACAGAGTGGGACACGCAGGGACAGCCCTACCAGTGCCACCATCCAGTACCCCAAGCAGATGATCTTCCCCGGGGCTGCTGCTGCCAGCATCACCTCAGACAGGATTTCCAGGCAGCAGTGATGATGGCTTTAAAAAGAAGTCAAATGCAATTTGGCAACATGCTATTTCCTGCCCTGTCATATTCCCCTCCTCATCCGAATTGGCTGGACAGGAAATGCTGTCACAGATTATAACAAACTGTTCCAAAAAAGAAAAAAGGAAATGACCATCTAGGCACATCTCCTCCCACTGCAGCAGGCTGGATTACTGCAGGAGCCTCCTTGGGACAAGAGCCTGTCACAGGTGTTTGCTGGGGGGCTGCCAGCAGGGACACTCGGCTGGGCAGCAGTGCTGCTGTCACCCCATGGGAGGTGGAAGCAGATGGTCCCTATCCAACCCTGTGACACACAGGACAGGGGCTGGCAGCAGCACAGCCACACTTCCCCCACCTGTGTGCCCTCACATGCCCCCAGACACGGCTGTACTGCAGGAGCAGGGCTCGTTGCTCCCTGCACAGCTCTGAGATGAAAGATCACTTCCCTCTCTTCCCCAGACAGGCTGTTGGCGAGGATAAGGACCCTGCCATTTTTCCTTTTTCCTCCCTCCAGAGGGATATTTTCTGCTTTTGATCAAGCAAGATTTGTTTCTCCCCGCAACAGCAGACAGAAATCATAGCGAGGATAACAGTGGTATCGACCTATATGAAGGGATTTTAAGTACAGCACTTGAAAATCCTCTTCTATTACATCACTTGATTCTGCTTGGAGGATGGTCTGGAGATTTTAAATCTCCCTGGGCCAAAAGATAGAACACAAATGCCAATTAGCTCACTTGGGTAAATCTCCATAACCCTATTTTCAGCTGAATAGGGCAGGGAACCTTCTCCATCACCACATAAAACCTGATCGATAGGTCCCTCTAGGAAATAAAGAGCCACTGCCACCATTGATCTCCTGCACAGTCAGGATCCAACGGGCCAAAGGTGCACGGTGGACAGATTGAAGCTGCTTAATCATGATGTAAGGAAGCACAGAGAAAGCCCAGTTTAACTACTCAGGCTTTACATTTGTACCTTGGTTATTTTTCTCAGAAAAGAGGTGAAACCTTTAAACCATGGTTTAAACCAAGCCTGTTAGGGTAACTGAAAAGCAGATGCCAAGTTACATATTTATTCAGATCCCTGTTTATGAGATTACAGTTAGAACACCACTAACGTGCGCCACAGAAGATCAAATCACTGTTTGTGTCTAGCTGGATGTGGTCAGAGCAAACAGACACAGCACTTCCATTTGGTTTTCACTGATTAGTAAGACGACCTGAATTGTCTTTATTGACTTTATAGCTTAGCTGGGGAGCACAGGGCCAAGTTCCCTACCCGAGGCAGGGCTGGGAGATGGGAGGAGTCCAAACTCTTAATAAATCTCTGAGCGTGTGAAGCAGAACAATGACCCACTGCAGCAGCTTGCACAAGGTACTCTTTTCACACAGCCCCTCTGCAACTCTCCAGGACTAAAAACACACATTATTTCCTGGTGACAAGATAATAAAAGCACTAGTAGGGTCATGTGAGGGTCGTAACATAGGCAGCAAGTACCTTACTGTCGAGCTTCTTCATGGTGACCAGGTCCAGGGACTTGAGCGAGTGGCCGGTGGGCGCAATGAAGTAGAGGCAGGCGTGGATCCGGGTGTCGTGGTAGTTGAACAGGGACCGTTTGATCTTCAGCTCCTCTTGCAAGTAGGCTTCAAACTGTGCATCAATGTATTCTACTATGGGCTTGTAGCTGGAGAGAGGTGAGGCACAGAGAAAATTGGGAATCGGCTACTGGGACAACACCGGGCACTGGCAGACATTCAGGCAGCCTCGTGGGTGCTCTGGACCTTACAGGATAAGCTCTGCTTGTTAAGACCCTCCCCACCAATCTAGAGTCCCTCCCAACAAGCTGTGCTTACACTTGTGCACAGACAAAACATAATGGACATGACAGCAAGATAAAGTGGTAGAGACCCTGGATTTTAGGCACATGGAAACCACACAAGTTACCCTGAAAAAAAAGTGTTTGTACATCTCCAATTGAAGTCTGAGCTGCTGCTCTGCCAATCTCACTGAAAATTTTGAAAGAGGGAAGGGCGATTGACAAGAGGATAAAAAGAGCATTTCAGGAGCACAGCTCAGAAGACAACTGGGCTTGTGGACTCTGAGGGGACCACTTTGCTGAATAAAAAAAAGCTTGTGCAATGTAACATACTCTCTGGAAAGGACCAGCTTGGCATGAAAAAAAGTGTACAGCTTCGCACCCCATGTTACAGGTGATTGTCACATTTTTTCCTGAAAAAGGGAGCCATGCTTCTGGAAAAAAATAACTTCTCCATTTGTTCCCCCTCCACCAAGGGCAGCCTCATGGATACCACTATGTGGGTTTGTAACACGACTGCTGCACTGGTTTCTTGGCTTCCGGAAATGTTGTCTCTGACCATGAAAGCCCAAAAACCTCAGACAGAGACATGTTGCAAAGACAGCAGTAGGGCCTTACACTGGGAGAAATATTAGAGAAAGCAACACAAAACAAGCAGAGCAGAAAAGGACTGGGAAGACAAACAAAAAGCACAGAGCAGCATCACTTCCTGGATCAGGAAACACCCCCAGGAACAGAGAGGGACCTACTGACCCCCCAGTCATGCCCTCCTGACCCGTGAGCACACCCCTCCTCCTGCCAGAGCCCAGCTTACCTGTCGTCCTTGTTAATCTGATCTCCAAAGCCCACGGTGTCCACAATGGTCAGCTTCAGGCGCACGTTGCTCTCCTGCAGCTCGTAACTCCTGGCTTTCAACCTCACGCCGGGCTCGTTGTGTGTCGCTGGTTCGCTCTCAAACTTGGTGTTGAACAGAGTGTCCATCAACGTGGACTTGCCGATGCCAGTTTCACCTGAGCAGACAAAGGCAACGTGCTATGGCCTGGCTGCTTTTCCTCGTCTTCTCGGGCACATTCGCCAGGTTATGGAGTTATTCCACTTGGGTAGCAGTGGAATTAGGCTACATGCACATGGCTAAGCAAGATAATCCCTGCAGGAACAGATGTCTTTCGAGACAGTTCCCATCTTTACCAATCCCCCAGGACTGAACCAGGAACTTTCCTCACAGATGCAACGTTGTAAATTCTCTTAACTCTGTGTTTGATTCCCAAGGAGATACATGATTTTATTTTGGGTTGGCTTTTTTAAAACAGTTTTGTTTCTGTTTAAAGAAGACCACCCAAAACTCACAGCATAAGTGAGGCAATAAAAATTTGAGACAGAGAAATACATAAGGAGTTTTTTTTTAAAAAAAGGAAAATAGCACACTGATTGAATATCAGCTTTTTAAACTACTACAGGTTCACTAATCCCCAGTGCAATTAGTAACATGGATGAAGGCATTAGCCCAAATCCCATTTCTAAGTCAGAAGTGTTTGTTTAGCAATTATACTCTCACACAGCTCCTGCTACCCATGCTGAGAGCAGGGGTGGGCTGAGGCAGCTCACATGAAAAGCCATGTCCTGAACTGATGGCCCAGTCTGTTCATCTCTGGAGCTGCAGATTTTAGGGAGCTCCTCACGTGAACTGCTGCGTGCTGTGCTAGATGGCCTTTGCAGCCTTTCACATACCAATTAAAAGTCTCACATTACAATGCCAAAGTTCATCATGTCCTTTCTCAAACCACCATTATAAAAAATAATTTGCTTCCAAAGTAAGATTTCTGCTCCACGGACAACTACAGCAGTTCGTGTGAAATTTTAATATGCGGTGAAAATTGGCAGATCGACACATTTTACAGGAAAAAAAGAAGAGGTGGATCAAATTGCTAATGGAGACATATTAAGTCGTGCTAAGAAAGGAATATTTACTGCAAGAGAGAAAGGCAATTAATTGATGCCATTTTGATCAAAGAGCTGCCTGCTAATCGGGCTGTTCCCTGCTGAACTGCAATGGTTTCATGCTGCTCCAGGAGTCACGTGAGGGCTGGGAGCTCAAGTGTGCACGAGTGCAACTGCTCTCCGATCTCCTCCTTCGACAAGCAAAGCTACAGAGAGAAGCCCAGTCTGTGTGCCAGACTTCTATTCACACAGCTCACAGAAACTCTCAATTCACTGTGCAAAATTCACAGTCAGAGGGCTGCAGGGTTTTTCCAGCTAATTAATGTAACTAATTAGAAGGCACAATACTCCCTTCTTGCAGGCTTAACTGCACAATGAATGGAGAGATGGTGTTCCCAGCCTGCTCTGCCAAGCTAAGAGTGAAACCCAGCATTTGTGTCACTTTGCAGAACCACATTCTGGGTCCACTGACAAGTTCCAGCTGGTTTAGCTCCCGGCTCCCATGGGCTGAGCAACGGATTTCCAACTGCACGGTATCCACAGAGTACCAAGACAGCACCTATCTCCTCACAGCAAAGAGCAGATGTTGCCTTCCTGTATTTCACCCTCTGAACAATGCGGGAAAAGTAACTCAGACTATAAAACCAACCTGCAGCACCCAGGTTAAATACAGCAGAGGACAGGTGACAGGCTTTGTTCTCCAGTACATCACTTGGAGACTAAAAATGGCATCGATTCCAATTGGAGAAACTAAGAATGTAACTATACAGGCAAAGCCTGGAAGGGAAGGAATGTCATTTGGTGAGAAACAGCCTCTGCACCCAATCCGGAGACAGGCAGACTGAAGTTCACTTTCTTTTAAAAATACATTTAGCTCCCACGTTAGCTCAGTTTCCTCATGGGCAGCCTTTGGGCAAAACAGAACCACAGGCTGATCAAAGGCATAGATTTTAACAGCTAAAAACGTCCACATTTTGACTCAAGCAACAAGGTAGAGAAAAGGAAAAGAGGGATGCTAGATTCTACCCTGGAGCAGCTCAGGGAAGAAAACTGTCACTTCCCTGCTGCTCTGGTCCCCAGTGGCTCAGCTCGGCCCTGTGCAGAGGGAGGAGGTGTGAGTCTGTGGAGGGGTGCAGCCCTGACTGCCCAGAGGGGCAGAGTGACCTACCCACGCAGAGGATGTTGAAGCAGAAGCCCTGGGACGTTGACTTGTTGACCAGCTGATCAGGGAGGCTGTCGAAGCCCACGTGGCCAGACAGGGAGAGGTTCCTGAGGTCATCGTTCTGTAAGACCAAGAGGCAAAGCATTTAACAGGGTTGCAACCCCCCCTGTCAGGGAACAAGTCCTGCCAGAACTGTGTTAATGACACAGAGTTTTGGGATATAGGACTTTTCTCTTAGGTTTCCCTCCCAAAAGTACTCTCCTCTTACTTCTACTCAGCTCTCTGCCGTGGGGCTCGGGAGCTCAGATGTCCCTGACCCCAAGGCACGCACCCACCACCAGACTGTTTTTCCGTGCCTGTCACTAATGAACCACGATTCTGTACCATTCTGCAACACCCAAACATTCTTCCTGAGGCCTCGGCATCCCTTTGGCAGGGCCACAGCAGGACACAGCTCAGATAGCAACAGTGCCTCTAGAGCCACCTAAATGCCTCTCCAGCTTTTCCAGGCTTGGAGCGGAAGGGAACAAAGCGAGCGTGCTGCTCTGCCGTGCCTTGGCGCACAAAGAACCTCATCTGACACCAGGTGACAAAGCAGGGCACACTGCCCAGCGTTTCCTCCATGACTTACAAAGCCCCTAGTGCTGCCTCTCCACGTCTTCAGCAGGAAAAGAAGCCAGGCCAGGGAGCCCCAAGGTGCCAGTCACCCCTAGTGACCCGTTCTCCTCCTCCCGGCTGCTCACGGCACCCGAGCTGACAACATCCTACACCCCAAGGCTGTGGAGGGGAACAGGGCAGCACAGACCTTGCACGAGGGAGGTTTGAAACAACTCCAAGATTATATTTAGGACTTCTCCACAACAGCTGTACCATAATCCACAGAGAAGCTTGGAGAAAGAAGCCAGCCCAGTTTACCTCTTCCCTGGCAAATGGTGGTTGTGCCAGTGTCCTGAGCACAGATAAAACAAAAAAACCCCACCAACTTGGCAGACCTAAAGCAGCTCTGCTGTTATTTCACATATTTCTCCCAAAGTTTGTTGTCCTTAACTTAGAAAATACTAACCTTCCTCCAAACCCAAACACTTCCAGCACAGTCACTCCACCAAGGCTATGCTAAATTACAGTCGTGGGCAGCCTCAGCCTGGTTAAAAGATGCTGGAAGCACCAGCTTCTTTTCCACAAAACCAGTGGGCTTTGGAGCAGACATGGAAAAAGACACTCTTTGGTTGATAAAATAAGAATCAAAAGCAGAGAAGGACTTCCCACTCTCATGCACAATTGCTGAGCAGCTCCACTTTCCCCCTCAGAACATACGGACCAGCCAACAATTGCAGGAAAAAATGAGTTAGATCTGGGCTGAGTGTTAATGAAAACAGACTCAGAGAAATACAAAATTTCTCTAGGAAAGGTAACATCAAGTGAAAATGTCTCTGTTTGTACCATCACCATATGGCACAAGGGGGCAAAGGGTTCTTTTCTGCCACGCTGACAGATAGGGCCCGACACCTGTGTTAGATACCTGAGCCTTCTCCTAACATCTAAACCAGGTTTGTCTGAAGCCTTAACCCAAATCCACCAGTCTGTTCACCTCCATCCCTCTGTGGACTGACAGCTATTCCATCAGCACCACACCACAGAAGCTTAGGGTGACTGAGAGATGCCACCTCTTTCACTCAGGCTGAGTACAGACAAACAACACAGAAGAGACCATTTACCCACAACAGTGATTCTCCTGCCAAAGCCCCAGGCAATGGAAGGAGATCCTGGGATTTACATGTTATGTGAATGGGTTAAATTAAATATTTGTAACATTAGTATTTTTAAAACACCAGTGGGCTTGGGTTTATGGTGAAGTGAAGGGAGCTCAGAGCTGATCCCAGAAAGCAGTGCCCATGACTCACAGGCTTCACAGAAAGTGGTGGGTGTTGAACATCTTTCAGCACCAGTCTCTCTTTCCCTGATATATTTTGGGCAAGCAAGTACTGCCTCATCACCAGTTACTCAGCAGGAACAGGAGTTAGACTCATCTCCTGCATCTGTGTCAGTTATTTTTTGCTGCAGACCTTCTTGCGTTTATTTCCCTCCCCTGCTTTTTTCCCTGCAAGCGGCAAACATCAGCAGTGGAATAAACAAGAACTATCCCTGCACTTTGCAATGCCAAGTATTTTTCACAAGCTGAGCTCGCAACAGGAGGCAGAAGCGCGGTCTGATATCTGCCCAAACACCAGAAAGCTCATGAAAAGCTCTGAGGCCCGAGGCACAGCCAGAGATGAAACACAAAGCCAAGCTTCCACCTCCCTCAGGGTTCCCAGGATGCAGCACATCTCCCTGAGTGGAGCAGACACAGAAAATAGGTGCAATTCTGCACAAGTATCACAGACAGGCATTTCAGAGAAGGCAGGAGAGCCAAAGGAACTAGGATTCTAAATCTTTCTCCATGCACACAAAGGCATTGTGCAACCTAACAGCCAGTTCTGCAGCACAGAGATGGGCTGGGAAAGTGCACACAATTTTTGGGGAGCCAAGGGCTGCGTAACCTCTTACCATTGCAGCCAGGCCTCTGCTCCTGCTTTTACACTGTTCAAGGGGATAGTTTTATCCACATGGAAAGGAAGCCTCTGCTGGAGAGCAACCAGCCTGATTGCTCAGGGTATCTTTAGCAGAACAGGCAAGTGATTCACGCATTCGGTCTGGCAGGACAGAAGTGTTTTTACAACAAGGGGATGCTAAGTCAGATGGCCCCGCTGCTCTGGCTGTGAATTGGCCTGACAAGTTCCTGAGCACAGGCAGTGGCTGGGTTTGATCCCAACTGAGTCATCCCACTGAGAATGGGGCAACTCCAGCTGAAGAGGAGGTGCAGGCTCCTGCCCCACAGAGACAACCCCAGAGCCCCCGTGTGCACCAACAACCACGGGAAGGCTACAAGCATTGATTTATTCCTCTTGCCACACGGTTCTCCTTCCAGAGCAAGTCAGCAGTACTGCTCAGGCACTTCACACCAAGTGGAAAGGCATATCATCACCCTGCCTCGCTGCCTTCTTCTCAAGTGCATTCCTCATTTTCCCCTCAGTGGATGAACATAGCTCAGCCCAACTCCTCTTGCCCCCACACTGCACCTAAAACACACTGCTGGACTAAAACACCCCCTCAGCTGTCACTCACAGAAACTCAGTCCTAGGAGACGCCTTAGGAACCACAGACAAGTTGCTGTGTCTGGAAGCACTGACCTCTTACAGGCACACTAAAAGAGGAACTGTTTGCCAAGCACCTCTCCTTGCTCCCAGCTTCAGGAGCCACAGACAAGATCAGCGTGGGTAAAACTGCAGCTCCACAGACTCCTGGAGGGATCAGACAGTTTGCACCAGACACGCTGCTAGATTTGGGTGTCTGCATGTTCTCAGATGTCAGAGAGCTAAGACATCCCCAAAACAGTCTTTATTTTTAAACTCTTCCTTAAGACAGCCATGTCCCCTTTACTGAACACCACATTATATGGCATATATTCCATCCCTCTTCCCACACCATCCAGGAGTAGGAAGCAATTCTGAACATCCAGAGCTGTGTGCTAACCCCTACAGAAACAGCAGAGCTACATGAACAAATAAATGCTTGTTTCTTGAGAAAGATGCTGATCACTTGACTTCTCCTTCCAGAGAGCCCTCCAAGGCATCCCACAGTCGATATTTCTTGGGTCAACAACAATCTCTGAGCTGCTGTTATCACAGCTGCTGGTTTTAACTCCAGCAGGGGAAGGGAGGGGGTAAGTTAAGCAGAGACAGGCCCCCAGAGGAACAGCATCTACCTACCTACCATCCCTATAAAGAGATTTATCTTGAGAAAACGATGCCCTAGTACTCTTAATTTTAACGGGGGGGAAAATGCCCTGCAAGAGACAAAAAAGGGTTTGCAATCTCAGAACCTGCATCTGTTGTTCTTCATATACAGCTCCTAGTGGCAAAAGTTCTGTAGGTGAAGCAACACTGCAGCGGATGCTCTGTGGCAAACAGTGTGTCTGCCTGGATGGAAGTCACTGCAGCCATCCAAAACAACTCAGCTGATGAGGCACGTGCAAGGAGAGAGTCAGCCCATTCCTCCTAAGCCACAGCAGCTTGGCAGAGTGAGCAGGGATACAGGGGAAGTTATTCTCCTGGCTGGAGTCAGGAACAGTGCCCAGTCTGTGTGTGGATGGGGAGGGGGAGATAAAGGTGGGCCCCACGATGGGAAATGCATCCCTCCTCCAGAGGCAGCATGAAGCAGAGCAGTGTCCCTACAAACCACAAGGTGGGTGGTAGCTGGTTAAAGATAAAGCAAAAATTGCTCTTCTCCTGGGTAGGAAAAAGGCATCGCTCCCAGAAGGCTGAGGAGGGTAGATCCCCAAGGACATGTGCAGTTACTGCCACAGTCTCCGGTCCGCTCTCCTTGCTCAGGACGTAGCCACAGTGAGGAGGACTGTTCCCCCAGCCCCAGCAAGCTCCCAGCTCAGCCCCTTTTGCCTTAAGGCTGCTGGCAAACCCTTCCCTTGGCCCCTCCTGGCCCAGAGCTGCCGGCGGCTGGGGGTCACTTTCACACGGCCTCCCAAGAGTTAAAGAAAACAAAAACGAGCCTCGAATTCGAGAGGGGGGAAAACGCTGGTATGCAAAACATTGAGCTCAACCACAAATATGAAGCAAGTGTTTAGTTATTTGAGGCCACACGACTCAGGAGGCACCTCTAAGAAACTCTAAAAGCTTTTATTGTTGTCAGCAGCTCAGGGCAGCAACATTTTTGATCCGTTACTAGGCACACGTTCCTGCGTTTCTGAAGTCATCTTAGATGCTACATCCAAAGCCAGGGATCTCTGGGATAGTTCTGTCTGCCCAGGGAAAAACGCAGCTCAGGGAAGAGCAGAGAGCACAGAAGCTAAGAGCAGTCAGCAAGAGACAGATCTATTGTACCCTCTCCATGCCAGCAGGGCACCAAGTATTCCCAGTGTCTGTGCCAGAGCCAAGCTCTCTGTTCCTTGAAACAGCACCCACAACCCCCCTCCCCTTCCTTACAGAGGTTTAAGGGATGGTCAGATCCGTAACTGTTGGACAAGGGAACTTATGAATAATAGTATGGGGAGAACACAAAGAGCAGGAA